CCCACACACACACTTCAGCCCTTTTGCTAACTCTCTTGTTCTGGTTGCTTCATCTTGGGTTAGACAATACTGCTATTCAGATATTCTTCAACTTTTTTAGCAACATTTGTGTAGCCAGTCAGTGACATCAGGAGGGTGGTCTTATCGCATTCTTTGGTTCTGGCAGTATCTCCTGCCACCCTTCATGGAAATCACTATCTTATCATTTCATCTCTTCTGTGAAGATATAGCGCATCTTGTTACAGTCTAGTAAATTATCTAGATTAAAGTATTACTTTGTGAAGTGGAAGAAATTTTCATTTGGGAAGCAAATAGTTAAGTTTTTGCCTGCTTTACTGAGAAGTTCTTAATTTCTCTTCTTCCCCGGAGGAAAAAATAATCTACCTACATCTCCATTTATCATCTTGTATGTAATGTAAAGGCAAGTGATTATCACTATAATTTTTATAGAACTAGCCAATATTTTTCCCCTGGACACATAATCACTGTGGGATTACAGCTGGGTACTCACAAATGAAATGTTTCTGCTTTCAAAATAAGAGAAGACTTTTGTTCTGTCTAGCAATAAGGAAAAATTCCTCTGAGAAAAATGAGTAAGCGTCAAGCTTTAATAGGCAATTCACTGCTCACTGTCAAGAGTGAACTTTTGTTCTGTGACTGTTACCTTAGGTACTTGTCAGAAAGTATATTTGAATTCTACCTAAATCACAGGGTTTTTTTTCTTCTGATTGTCCTTCTAGAACCTCATTTTCACTAATTTGTGTATTAGAACTGTCAAAAGGTTGTTTTTATTTGTATTTGTGAGCAACTAAGACATATAGGATGTCATCTGTGTGTCATATATCCTGTGGTTGTACATATAAGGATTTCTCAAATCATATTAGGCTGTGTAGTAAAGATGTTAAGGCTAGAATGACAATACTTGAGCTGTAGCAAAGGTCCATAACTTTCACTAATTTCATTGTAGGACTATTGAGCACCAATTTGCTTTCCCTGCTACTTTGAGCCACAGCAACGGCGTCACTGTGTACCTGCAGGCAGATCTAATACCCTGTTTCCGGTGAACTACAGCTTGGGCAACCACTGGTCACTATGTCTAAAATAACATTTAAGCCATGTGTCCCTGAGTATTTCTGTCATATAGATTAGTAGTGATATCATCCTGAGTTTTATACAGAGATGTTCTGAGTTCACATCTCAAGAACTGACATATGTGTGTTTTGTGTATTAAAATATATGTATATGTTTTTACCGTGATAGTTCCCAGATTAGGTCCTCATTATGTTAATCGCTGATCATGCATTGCAAGGAAAGACATTTAGAGCTTGAAAAGATATACAGTCTGAGTAGCGCAAATTTAGGATAGGAGTTCTGTAATTCCTCAGTAAATCAAACTTCTTGCTGGAGATTTTGTATCCTTTTCCTAATCTGAATTTTTTAAGCATGCCTTTAATTAATTCATTAATTACTAAGGTAATCCGTAATATTCCGTTGCTCTAAGGAAGATTTTTGTAACAGAGACGCTTGTTAGACTGTGAATACACTACTCACTTGAGAGTTGCTGACATATATAGGTATACTCACTATAAATGCACAAGTTGTTATTTGTGTTTTCCTTGAATTAGACATATTTTTAAAATCCAGATGACTCTTCTATGAACAATTTTTGTCATTCATTAGGGTTAATTTTTTATTTTCAAGTTGTTGCCAAGCTTGCATCCCTTATTTATAGACCATTTTTTGTTGCCTTCAGTCTAACAGAATAATGTCCTTGGGTAGAATGGAGCATTTCGTTAGACACAGACAACTTAAGATCCCCCCAAGAAGAAAAAGCTAATCAGCATTGAGATACACTATGCAGATCATAAACAGGATGGGTTTCTCAAAATGCTTTGAAAAGAGTACATGAGAAGGACAATGTCTCTTCACTCTTCCCACCGTGTGGGGAAGCTCCCTCTACGCACTCAGACAGGCCCTTGTTTTAGGGTTTTAATGAATTTGGAGAGAGTCTCCAGAGATGAGAGATGGGGAGGCCTCTGGTGCCTGCTGTTGCTGGCAACCTTTCAGGTGCTTCCAGACCCAGCCATACCCTGACAGATGGAAAGAAAGTGGGATGGGGGAATCACCCCATCCCCAGGGGCAAGGGAGACAACTATCCTCCTCTTCCATTTCTGGATTTTAATCTAGTTGCAA